AAGCACGAGAGGAAGAGGAAAAGGAAGAGGGAGACGCGAACGGCTTCGGCGGAGCCTCCGAGGAGGATCCGGCCTTTCCCGGCGAACTTTGATTTCGCTTATTCTTTCCGCGCGGCAGGTGGACCGCCGAACGGGGCGAGGCGAGAAAACGGGAGCTTCTCCGTCGGCGCCTTTCATCCGGCCGAACTCTCGGCGTAACGTTCAAAAGCCGACCGAATAAGGAGAGAGAAAGGTGCCGCTCGCGTCGGCTATCGAAACGGGGGCTCGCCGATCCCGTAACGTTCGAAATTTCACCGCAGGCGCTCGCGAACTCGGCCGGCGAAGTTCGAAATCGTTGCCGCCCTCCTGTGAGGCCGACTCCCTGGGTCCCCCTCTTCCCTGCGGCCTTGCTCGACTCGTAAGGCGAATCGATCGCGGCGGATCGATTTGGACGGTTGCACGCACGGCCTTGGAGGCCGCGGCGAAGGCGCGAGCGGATTCGCGCGCCGATCCTGCCCGGTCGATGCACTCCTCTCCGAGTCGCGATCCGTGACCGACCGACGCGGAGCCGGTGCGCGATCTTCGATCTCCGATCTCCGATCCGCGATACGCACGATCGATCGAAATTCCCCCCCGGTCCCGCTCGATCGACCGCCCGATCGATCGTCCCACCCTTTCGGTCCCCCTCCCCGCCCCCGCGAACCTTGGTCGCGGCCCTCCATTCGCGGGGAATTAATACCCCAGGAATCGCGGGGCATCCGCGAGGATTCCGCGAGGTGGCCGCACCCCTTTATCGGTCCACTATTCCACCTGTGGAATTTCGGCGGCGAGGTCTCTCCGCCGCAGGCGACTTTCTACCAGGACCGCTTCCCGGGGACTTTCGATCGGGCCTCCGGATTTCGGTCGTTGCCCGAGGACGCGCGGAATCCTTCGTCGCGTCGTCCACTCTCACCGGACGAACTTTCATCCGGGCCACCGACGGCCCCGGGAGCGTTTTTACCTCTCCTGGTTAGGTGCGTGCCACGAGAAGAGACCTAGAAGCGATTCTTCCACGGTGGCGATGCTATCGCCGCTCGGGACGACCGAAAGCGGTGCGACCAGATCTCCAACGAGAGCCGGTCAATTTCTCCCGGCGAGAAAGCCGAATCGCCGCGATCTCGCGATCTTCTTCCGCGGAATCTTCCGGCCGACGCGTATTCTCGACGTCGGACTCCGGCTCGCCCTCGGTCCCTTCGGGGAACTCGGGCCCCCATAGGCGGCGGTTCGCGAGGTAGGAGTACCTACTCACCGAGGAATTTCCACTTTCCCCTGGGTCTTACGTAAGGCGCGGCCCGATCGGCTCGATCGGCGCGTTCGACGCGCGACCGCGGCCGACCGCGCTGGCTCGTGCGCCACCTACCCTACCTATATCCACCTTCTCTCCTTCGTCGTTTGCGAATCGGAGCCCTGGAGTACATATCTGCCCTGCAGTCTCTCTCTATTATGGGAAGACTTACGCCCGAAGTGCCGGCACCACCTGTACTCTTTTCCGGATGTTCGGCCGAACTGAAATTCAAAATGGACGGTGGCGACGCGACGCCGACCTGAGTCGTTGGGAGATTAGGCGTTGAATGGCGTTGGGTAATATCAGCAGAAGTATGCATGCGCACCCCGGTCATTTTGAATTTTAGGTAGGATCAACGAAAAGTATAGACGACAGGCAAGAATTAGGAGCCCAAGTCATGAAATAATGTAAAAAGATCGAATGCCGTGTATCGAAGTCGTTCCTATTTTCGAGGTCGAAGATCTAACCCTCGCCGATCTAGCGCCGCTAGCGCCCTCGCGGTGAGACTTTGCAATTAAAAATGATCGTCCGCTAGCGCATCCGCTGGTCTTTATCGCGTTAAAAACATCACATCCTGTATAACGTGCGCGGATTATCGTTGCACGTAGCGTGCCTTAATTGCGCAATTAAAAGCGTTTTAGGTTATTTCCATGGATATGAATCATCTTGGTCACATAGGATTGAAATCCCTACATTGTCCGCAAGTGGCGCTCGCGTCGGTAGATCAGCGAAAATCCGAGATCCCAGGGCCCCGATTCTGGGCCACTTTCTGTGGAACGTACCATTGACGTTACGTCTCCTTGTTTTGGTTCGTTTCAAACTCTCCGCGGGAGTGTCGGGTTTATTAGGTACCTGCCGAAGCGAGATACGCGCCGCGTTTGCTCGACAGGAAAGGAAAGAGATTCCGGAAGCGCTCTTCGATCCGCGGTTCCGAGGATCCGCCCCGGGTCGGCTCGCGGCGGAAACGCCGCGGGTAATTAAAGGGGCCCCGAGACCGTTGCGCGCCGAGGCTCGGGCCCTAACGAGGAAAGAATGCAAATCGGCGGGAGCGATACGTCACTCCACCTCCGATAAGTCTCCGCGAGGGGGATCTCACGGTCAATTAAGCGAGAGTTGCGAGACAGCCCCGAGGACGTATACTCGCGCGATCCGCGTCCCTGACGTCCCCGGGGGCCGTTCGGGGTGCCTCTCCTCCGGGTTCCCTCTGGAAACCTGGAAGCCTGGAGGTCTGGGAGAGTTTCTCCGCGCGTTCCGGCTCCTCGAGGACGGAGAAAGCCGCGCGCCGCGACTCCACCGAGTCGCGTTCTCGCGGCCGCGGAAGTACGCGTCGCTTCTCCCGTCTGGTTTCCACTTCTAAGCAGGACGTTTTGCCACCGCCGTCGAGTCGCCAGGGTATCTCATCGTCGATTGCTCAGTAACGGTAAAATTCTTTATCAAATTGTCGTTTCCTTTTTTTTTTTCACCCCGATATCTGACGAAAATTCCCCGTGAGCGACAAAATGCCCACTCAGTTCAGTAATTGGGGTAGGTCAGGTTAATTGATAATTGAGCATGGGGAGAACCTCTTCCTAGCCATCTGAAAAGTCCAGGAGCTATTCACTCGAAAATCAGGGGAAACGATCCCCTTTATTTGAAAATCGATTGCCTTTGATTTCAGATGATAAACAACGGTGTTATTAACAAGGGACCCTCGGCCCTTAAAATTGGGACAATCTTTTGGTGATCTCCAAGAATTTTCAGATGACTCCCCTCGTGATTTTAGCATTGTAATCCGTGATTTTCTCAGTGAATAATCTGCTGGGAGGTGTAGAAACGACGAAACAAGGTGGCGAAGAAACGTGCCGACTCGTTTGCAGCCGACTTGGAATTTGCTCGTCCCGCGTTTTATACGCCGAGGAGAAGAAAGTCGGGAGGATGTCCCGGTCACTCAATGGCGCCGGCCCCGATTCGTCGACCTTGAGACGCTTTCCACGGCGATCGATCTCGCGAGGGTTGTCGCCGGATCGAGTTACCTTCCGGGATCGGTCGTGTCGGCGTCGAGGGCGTCCCGGACGATGCGCGTCGTCACGGTTCTGGTTGGGCACCTTTCCGTTTCCGAGCGTTCTCAGATCCGTCGCGCCTTACTCACCACTAGTTAAGTACTCAAAACCTAGTCCGCTTTCGACCAGTCCTCGGGACTTGCGGGGTCGGAAGGGAAAAGATCCGAGTCGTGGGACTCGGCGTTGGGGTAGGTCGCGGTCGCCGAGCCTGGCGCCTCCTTCTCCTCGGATCGCATTACGAGGAGAGACGAATACCGTTGACCGTTCCGAGTCGATGACTCTGGAGCATCCCAGCATCCGCTTTGCGTCGCGCACGGTTCCTGGAGAGGCGTCTCTTCGACGTTCCTCGGACTCCCCCCTGGGGATCGGAGGGGAGCTCCGCTCCCTCGGTCGATTAATATCGACGGGTTTTTTTTTCTCGGCTCGGTCCGAATGGCCTTATCCGGCTCGTTAGTCATTGGCTAGCGGTACTCGGAGTCGATCTCGGTTCCCCGCACCTCGGGCAGGTTGGGCAGGTTGGACAGGTGGTCTCTCGCTCGGCTGAATGGAGGGGCTCGGCTCGTGAGTCGCTCGCCGGTCGAGCCGCCGAGACGCCGATCGCGCCGACTACTTCGAGCAAGAGCGTCCTTCTCGACGCCGCTCCACCGTGGACGGTATATATGGACCCCAAATCCCCGATCTCCCTCGGCTGTTTGAACCTGGAATACAGTTTCAGGCACGAACAAAATTAATAGGCTTATTGGAATGTTTCTGCGATGTAGACGTTTGTGCCATGTTGAGTTTTGTTTGTGTCACTTTTTTCTTTTTTTACAAAAACCAGAGCTGTTAAAAAAATAAACAAATTCCGAAAATAACCATTTTAACGTTTTTGAGGGTCTGGCGTGAATAATCGAGAATTATTGATTTTAACCTTCGATTATTATCTAATCCTGGTTAAGGAATTCTATGCTATTCGCGATTAAGTATCTCCGTTGAAAAGCCTCGTGGTAATTACGGTTGCGATCAAACTTAACGGAGAACAAGGGACGAACTTTTTAAAATAAAATCAGAGGAAAAGAGCGGAAATGACGAACGTCCCTTATTTTTTGCCTCTCAATGTGGATATCTCCGCAAACAGATCGGCATGCGGGGTCGATATACAGGGTGATCCACAACACATAGTCCACTATGTACATATTAATTTTCATACAAAACCGAAGCAAAAAGTCGCACGGAGAAATTACGTACTTCACCTCGAATCAACTTCTACGAATAAATATATTAGATTGAAAAGAAATTATTATACCGGCGTATTCAATAATAAGCAAATGTCAGTTTCGGAAAAACAGTAGATAAGTGATTAGTCTCTTATGTTTTATAGCCGCGCGAGAATAATGAACTCTCATCGGCTGCTTTTTAATGCTAAACAGTTTCATAATTATTGGTCTGCAAGATTTTGCCATACGAATTTCTCGTTTGATTTTGTAAAAGGACTCACTATATCTGTGTAAGATAGACGATGGGTTGTGGGTCACCCTGTATACTACGCCCTCCTGACGTTGCACTAGGTTCGGGAGTGGTCGAGAGATCTCGTCAGAAGATCGCAACGGGTGATCTCGAATTTCTCCATTTACTCGAGATTTGGAAAATGAATTCGAAGGGGAACGATCGCGTTGCAGGTCGCAGATGCGAGATGCGCGGGAACGGAAGGTTCCCGTAGGAGTCGCGGAATCCGTCTGGCGGACAGGAAGATGGGCAACGGCGGGAGTTCGCATCGGCAGTCGGCCTCCGGGAGCCTCTCCTCGGAGGTGGGTCGAGGGTGGACGCACTCTTTCCCCCGGGAGCTGGCGAGGCGACACTCGCAGCTCCCGGGTCGCAAAGTCCTGCCGGAGCCGCCCAACCAGAGGCTAAGGGTCACCGACAACGGCAGCATCATCCACAACGGCGGGACCATCAGCGGACGCAGACCCTCCGCTCTGACGCTGCCGCACGACCTCGATAAGGTAACCCGCCGTTTAAACCCTAGCGGCCAATGTTACAAGACCACTGATCGCAAACATTTTTTAACCCATTTGCATCATAAGGAAGTATGAAAAAAGGGTCCTTATCGCCGAAATTTCAAGCTGAATGATAGTGGCCAGCAAAATTGAGCGTATACATACGCTCCGGTGATAGTGATCAGGAACACTGAGCGTATATATACGCTAAAGATGCAAATGGGTTAAGTGGTCTCCAGCGGTTATTCGCGTTTATATACGTTTTGTCGATTGTACTTCTCTCGAGGGTTTATTCACTCAGGAAATATCATGGATATTAATACTTGAAAACACGTAGAAATCGGCTGGAAATCGTTGGAAATCACCGTAAACCTCGCCGTAATTTTAAGGCCGATCGCTTGCTTATCGAAACGCATTGTTGTTTATCGTGTGAAATCAAAGGCAATCGGTACTCAGAGAAGGAAAAATCGTTATCACAGATTTCCGAGGGAATAGCCCTATGATGAGGACGGAGTTGCATCGCCGCGGCTTCTTTCGAGCGAACACCGCGCACCGGCGTGGGGTGCGAACCGGACATCCGAGTGGTAAATCGAATTTTCTCGGTTAACCGGTCGGCCCCGATTCCACGGCGTCGCTTGTCGGAAACCTCGTCTCGGGGCCGGTGAAACGCGCCGCGGAATCGCGACGAATCTCGACTTCGCGATCTCGATCCGGACGCTCTCGATTGGCGAGCGTCCAGAAACTGGCCACTGCTCGTGACCGGGTTAACGCCGAATCGAGCCGGTCCGCCGGCGCCGGAGGGGCACCGATTCTCGCTAACGAAAGCACCGGTTGATTGCAGCAGAACGCGTTCCGAGGGAGGAGCACGTCGGCCTCAAGTTTCGGAGCGGGCCGGTCGCGGTGCTGTCAGTACCGGGAGTGCGCCAAGGTGCCGGACTTGAAGAGGTTCGGCAGCGAGCCCGACCTGCGCCACGCACCGGTGGAGGCCGGAAGAGCCGAACCGCATCATCGAGGACCCCAGGTCTGCCGGCCCGAGAGAGACTCCCGGGAGAGGGAGAGTCGCTACCGAGGCAAGAAGAAGTACAAGGCGCCTCCTCCACCGGCTTCCACCTCCTTGGCCAACGGTGAGCCAACCGCGACGGGGTCGTCGCCGGACTCGTACCACTGGGAGATGGGCCAGGACTCGAGAAGGACCGCCGAGGCGGCGCAGCCTCCTCCGCGGAGATCGCGACTCTTCAAGACCAGGGCTGAGACCAAGAGGGCGCTGGTCAACTGGCCGTCGCCCTCTCAGGATCGGGACGCCCTCCCGGACGGCGGAGGTAAGCGTCGACGGAGGCCCTCAAAAGAGAAGAGCGGCCCCCCGCCCAGGAGGGAGACCTGGAGGGAACACGAGGACGAGCGGAAGAGGGAGGAGAGGAGATCCAAGATCCTGGACGGCAAGAACACCCTCCAGAGGAGTTTGAGCAGTCCGGAGTTCCAGGCGGAGCTGATGCGCGTGGCGCGGAAGGTGCGGACCAAGATGAGCCGTGCGACTGGCAGGGAATCGCCCGTCGGGGAGGCTTCGAGTCGGGTCGACGCTCGAGTCCGCGTCGGGAGGACCCGGGAAGAGGAGCGACCCGGGGAGCCGAGCAGCGTCGAGGCCCGCAGGCGGAACGGGCCCAGGGCTCGCCACCGGGGCCAGGGCTCCGGTCGGGAGAGCACTCCAGAGCCCACCCGGAATCACGGGGAGGGAGAAGCGGAGGCCCGTAGCGCCCGGAGGAAGGCGGAACCTGCCGCCGTCGAACCGGAGCCGATTGCGCCCCGAGGAAGACTCTGCGCCGCTGGAAACAGAGAAACGTAAGCGGCGTCGCGGCTCGAATTGCGTCTTTCTTTTCGGTGCATAAGGAGATACCAAATTCAACGCTCGAGTATAACGAAAATTAGACGCGCGGGGACGTGATCGAGATAAACGAATATAAAAGTTTCTTTCGACCATTCGACGTTTCACCCCACGTAATTCTACGTGAAATGTTTTCCGTTACGGTTCCGTCCAAAGGATCGAACCCTGGATTTTTACGTCCTCCTCTCACCCGGTTCGCCCGGTTTCTTCTTCAGATCGACGTCGACGGAGAAGCCTGCGCCGAAGACCTTCTACTTCGGCATGAACGAGCCGCAGCCCAGTCGGAGTTCCGGCGGAATGCCCAGCCGCAACTTGGACGACTCCCATCCAGAAGCGCCGTCGGTCGACGTCGACGAGGTGAGGGCGATCGTTTCGTGTCCAACATTATAATCTACCTTCCTCGATTTAATTCCATTCCTGTCGCCGTCTCAGGATTTACAGAAGCGGGAGGAACCCGGCATCGAGGACATAGCACTAAAGCTGCGGCCCACCCTGCCTAAGAAGCAGCTGGAGATCCCCAGGTTCTCGCCCTCGGCCGCCTGGAGGCTGCTCTCCGCCCTGGAGACCCCAGGCCCCGCGATGAGCACCGCCAGCGAGGAAGTCCCCGTAAGTCCCGCCGCGAGGTACCGACTCGAGTCGACCGGCTCTCTCTCTGGATGACTTAACGATTGGCGTATATCACTCGTCTTGGCCGCTGTGGCGCCGCGTCCGCGTCCGGCCTTTCGAATTTCTCCGGGCCGGTGCGACGTCCGCGTAACGCCGACTCGCAGTCTGCCATTAGCGGTCGCGACGGCCCCTCGATTACGGCACATCGGGGTCTCGGGGTCGCTCGTAAAAGCGCGTCCCTCCTCGCGACTGCTAACGCGGTTACCTACGTCATCCACGACCTCTCCTTCGAACGTTCAATGACCACGTGGACGAAATGGCGCGCCTATTCGTGACCAGGGTCGTAACAGGTGGCATCGTTTCACGGAAAAAATTAAATTCGCCCTTTTAACAAAGGAGAGAGCATCGCTAATGAAGTTTCGCTCTTAACTGCGCGAATTATTGCATCAATGGCAACCATTCTTGCAATTACATCGAATTGCAGACATCAACATTCTTTAGGAAAAAAGCTTTCCAAGTAATTAAATGAATTTGTAGCAACAGCCGAATAATATTGTTATAACCGCTCGAACAACTGAACTATATGTAATATCTTGTCGCTGGAGAGAAGTATTGCAACCATGAATAAAATTCGAGTTTTTCCCCGGTTAGGTAACCTCCCTTTTCTTTTTCAATATAATAAAAATGCATCTGGGTAAAATTTTTGCTAGCCCATCTTTAAGTGATAACGTTCGTGGAAAATAGGAAAATTTCTTGGTATCGGTCTGAATTTTTTTTTTTCTGTCTGGTTACAGGTCCTGTTCGAGGAGCGCATCGAGCGGCTCTCTCGGGCGCCTCCACCGCTAATGGCCCTAGGGCCGAGGAGCTCCCACGACAAGTCCGGGGACTCCGGGATCTCCGGGGACGCCGGGGCTGGCAACGAGGACTTGCTGGATGTCGGGACGTCCGGGAGGAGCAAGGCGCCGACGCGACCCGCCTGGACGCCCCAACAGGATCTCGGAGAAGAGTCCAGCAGCGATGCGGGGGTGGACTCGCCTCCACCCACGGCGACGCCTCTCAAGTTCCCGCCCAGGGCGCACGTTTTCTCCCTCTCGTTGCCGCGGGACGACAACAGGCTGTCCCTGTACAGCGCCGACGCGAAAGCGAAGGAGACGACGTCCTTTAACTCGTTGCAAAAGCTGAAACGCTCGGTCTCCGGGGCGTTGGGCCTAGGGCCGATCGACCCGGAAAAAAGAAGGTCCGCGGACGCCCTGGACGATAACTGGCTCCTCTCGACGAGCGCGCCGACCTCGCTGCAGCATAATTCGGGCAATGCCGAGGGCACTGCTGCCGCCACCGCCGCCTCTTCTCCTGGGTGGGAACCCGAGTCCTCCCCTAGGGAGGACGACGTCGACTGCGGCGACGGCGAAGACGACGACGAGGATATCGGAGTCTACGACGAGGAGCCCCTGGAGGAACGGACCGAATTCCCGGTTCTCATGAGACCACCGTCTTTCTCGTACCTAGCATCCGGAGGTCACGTCATGTACCTGCCCGAGGCAAATGGCACCGGATACCAACCCCGTAGTTTGAACTACAGGCCCTTCGCTGGGGAAATCGACAAACCTTTCGATGAGTCGGCTCCAAGATTCAGAAAGAACGCGGAGGAAGGGAAGAAGGTCGCCAAATTTCCCTGTGGTATGACTCAAGGGGGAGGTCAGAATGGAGAGAGCGACTCGAAGAGAGGCGATCGTCTTGCAGGTGCGTTCAGGGAGCGGCCCTTGACCGAATTGGGACACAGATCCCGGCAGCTGACCACATTCTCTAAGTCCTGCGAGAACGTCTCCGAGATGAGGCAACGGGGCCGATCACCTTCACCGGGGCCGGAAAACTTACAGGACGCCAAGGAAACCTCGGTCGAGGCGAAGGTGCCGGCCAAACAAAACTCACGAAGTCGAAGATTCACCTTCCAGTCAACCGTCCGGCAAATAGAGAGGCGCAGATTGGCGGAGAGGCTGTCCAGGGAGGCCGAGGCCAAAGAGAGACAGAGGAAGGGTGAACTCGAGGCCATGAGGAAGGTGGAGGAAGAGTTCCAGCGGAAGAGGGCTCGGGAAAAGGCGAGCATCCGACAGCAGCTGCGACTCTTTAGCATGGACGAGAACCTGAAGTAAGTATCGCGAATCGATAGTCGTCTCATTACATTTACGGGGCCTCATCCAGGGCTTCATTAAACCAGGGAATTTCTCTCAAGTTCCAATAGCCTGCCTCCGGTTTGGAATAATAGTCAGGTGCCACGAGCAGACCCCGACGGTGCCCCCTCCTCGTCGGCGTCTTCTCCGACCTCCGCGGTACCCGCGAAAACTGACCGGAAGAACAGCGTCAGCAGCGACGAGTACCACCGGAAGTCCACTTTGGACGCTCGACAGCACCATCGACATCATCAGCAGCAGCAACACCAGCAGCAGGCGAACAGGGAGTACAAAGACTACAGACCTAGGTACTACGACTGGGTGCCCGAAAATTCGAGTCACCCCGAGTTCAAGCACACCACTGTTCACCCCAAGGTCGTCTACGATATCCCGAAGAGCTCTCCGGTTTACGTCGAAGCGAACCTCCATGCTGGCAAGCCGGCCAACCCGACCTCTACCCCGAGGTCCGACAATTACAGGTGAGTCCGGGTCGGGAATCGATGCAGCGGAGAAACCAATAATCGAGGTGTTTCGTAAACTAGGAAAGACTTCGCCCACGGCGCCGTGGCGGCGAGATCGTCTCTGGCCAGCAGCGACAGCGAATTGTCGCAACCCAACACGAGACCTCATTCCAGGCAGGCCGAGAACAAAAGCAAACGACGGCTTCGGTCCAGGTACGTCGAGTCGCCATCGGTTCCCCCTTGAATTCCGCTTGAACCGCAGTCCGAGCTCCTTCGCCGGAGGCTCCGAAGATGGACGTCGCACGACCGAGGGGATCCCGAACTCGTCCTCGTCGCGATTCGTGCTACGTCCAGGCTCGGGACGCCTCCGCGACCACCCGGGGTAACGCTGCAGCATGTTGCATGACCCGACTCTCTTGCCGACTTAACGGGACTCGAGGAAAAGTGCAAACGACGGGATCGTTCGGTCTAGGTCGGAGTCAGGATTCCCTTTGAGAAGTCTGCCAGCCGCCAAAGCGCGCTCGGTGCGTGCGGTGCGTGTCGATTCCCTCTCGTAGCTTCTTTTTCTGTTTTTATCTTCGGATCGTGTGCCAACCGAGGCGACATCGTCTCGATGACGTCACCTGATGGCGTCATTTCCACGGGCTTCTTACGGAGCGATACAGAAATTCGTTCGAGTCTCGTTTTTCGTGGGCGTTCCATAAATGTGGAGAGAAGTCAGCCCGTGTGTCATTTTTCAAGGCAATTCCCTGCAGTACGAGCGGGTGTTTCGCTGGTGGGTAGTACCTGCAAGAGAAAGAGACGGGTAGATAGGTACTTGGCGAGAGAGAGGGAGCCCTCGGCAGGTCTCCCCCTTTAATGAAATTCTTTTCACCCGAAAAGTACCCTCCTCTACACCGATACTTATGCCTAAGTACGTCAGAAACGAGACGTCCGCTAATTACTCGCTTTTTATTCCATGCAGGTTTTAAGGTGGGCGTATAAGTAAGTAGTGTTAACACCTCTAGTCATCTAACAACGCTTCATTAAAACAAAACGAGCAAATACAACGGAGCGCTTCTAATTCCGCCTTGGGCTGGGTATACGTCACCCACGTAAGCGTTTCGGATATCTTTTGATATTTGCCATGGCATACGTGGGTGCTTACACTAAAATTATGTAATCAGGATGAATCTACGCATCGACCTTGAACGATATACCTTGCCGTACTTTTCCTCGTGTCACCGCGCCAAGTAGACGCTTGATGTCGACCGAGACTTCGTGTAGGACTCCTCCGGACTCCTCTTCCGTTCACGTGCAATACATGGATACGTTATTTTATTTATTATTTTCTTTGCCGAGTTTACCTGAGAGATGCCTGCTGTGCATGCCGGTCGGTCTTGTTCGATGTTTCGGTTCATCCGGAAGGAAACGATTCGGCGAAGGTACCTCGTGCGATTTCGGCGATTCCGAAAATGCTGCTTGGATCGGAAGTTCGTCCCACGGGCGGCGATCGATATAAAATCGATCGATGGTCAGGACATCTTGTAAAACCAAGTCCGAGGTGCACCTGAAAGTTCATAACAAAAAAAATCATAAAGAAGAAATTTCCACACAAAGGTGCCCTTTTTGCAAAGGACAGAATCGCCGATAAAGTTTGGCTCTAGCTGCAAGAATAATTGTACCGACAGCAAGAATGTTTGCAATTATGTCGAAAAATACTTCCTAAATTAGCAAATGAATTTGTTGTCCCGAACGAGGAAGCGATATACAATTTCTTGTGGCTAGAACAGATTATCGTAACCATGCATTTGAGTTGCTCTAGTGAAGTAATCTTTTCTTTTTTTGTTGTCAATATAACAACAATCTTTCTGGACATATATTTCGCTGACCCATTTTCAAGGGTCCACGTTTATTGAAGCACGTACAATTTCTTATGACTGCGAATTCGTTTTTTTACGCGCAATTTGCCGCCCCTGGCTTGTCGAACGGCCGTCGCGGTGTTGCTTGCTCGTACCAAAGAGGGTAGAAAGCAAAGGTACAAGTTAATATGAGAAGCTGGCGAAACGTGTGGAGATAGTAAGGAAACGTTGACCAGGTCGGCTAGTCCCGAGAGAAGCGAGGACGTCGCCAGCTCGGAAGAAGAGGCCCCCGTCGAAGCCGTCGAGCGAGAGCGCGATCCGAGAAACGGATTCCCACTCAACGGAATTCAGCCCTTCGTCAGGGAGAAGAGCTACCGACCCATTTCCTTCGACCCTCAACCCCCTCCGCCCATTCCTAGTTAGGCACGATTTTTAACTTGTTATTAGACTCCAATTACCAAGCCGTTTCTCCTTAATGCGCTAATGAAAATACGTATATTTTATATATTAAGTATATATATGTATACATATCTTGAACACGATATAGGTATATGCGTGTATAAATATAAATTATTTTTATGGACATTTTATACGAGAGCGATGTAATATATTTTTTACTTTTTCAACGATAGTATTGACTCCAAAACCCGGAGAACGCGGTCGGAAATTCTCGATACGAGCTGTTTCTGCCCTGCGTATTATTCTCGTCGAGGTATGACTAGACCTTGCATTTACCTTCTGCAGCATTGTACAAAATGTTTCCAGATGTATTAACCACTGGACAAGAGAGAATTTTTAAGCTTCTCATTTCTCCGCCGAGGCTGGTTCTCCGGAAATTCTTTTGGGTGATTTTTAGAAATGTCAACGTTCAATTTTCATTTCTCGAGATTCAAAGGAACGAGAGTAAACGCGTAACACAAGCATCAGGTTAATTTTGGTCATCCGTTTTAGTAGAAATCGGTCCGCTTTTCCGGTCGTTTTATTTGAACGATCGTTTGAGAAATCGCAATTACCGAGAAAGTGCAATTACGTCTGGCCGAATTGTCGATGGCTTAACGATTCACGGGACGAAAGAATAAATTCTACTTGAAGTCGTACGAGCGAATAGATATTGCTCTTAAACCGTGACTCGTAACACTAACTCCTAACCAAATGTGTTCCGTACGACTATTCGGCTTCCACGCCTAGATATCGATATTTGTAATAAGTATTAACACGACCAATCGAATCAAAGATCGTTAGGTTATTATTGTTGGGAAGAGTAACCGAATGTCTAAACCTAACCAAGTACGCCTAGTACGTAGTATGTAACTAGGTGTCGATGTTTAACACAGCGGCGACTTACTTAACAGGTTTAGGGATAGAGTTACTATTTTGTAATTATGTACAGGGAAGAGAGAATCTGCAACCGACATTTGCTCATGTAATGCAATCAAATAAAGAAACGTGTTGTTACAAAGTTACGTACAAATATTTACACGCATTATCTTTCAACCCAGCGATGTATTAACGACTTCTAGTTTTATACATTCCTCCTTGAATGGAATTGGTTTCAACATGCGTGCCTGTTAATGTTAAGAATAAAACGAGTACATGGATACGATGCGATGGATTAATAAGTATTAAACCCAGTTGCTCTGATAGGGAATGGATGATGAAATCGGTAAGTGAATGAAAAGAGAAGCTGGTTGGAATGCAAAAGCGCACGCGGGACGGCGCTATCGCGAGTCAAACTAACGACTATTTAAAACTCTTCACGGTATCTTTTTATCGAGTAGAACTGTTTCAGAAATGCACGCCTGTTAGTTAGACGAATAAAAATCAACATTTGTGCATACGTGAAATCATTGAATGGTAAAATGTAATGGATGGGGAGAAAGTATAGAAGCTCGTTTGAAACATTGTCGAAAGACAGTTGAAAGTAGTAATTTGAACGAGATGGATCGGTGAGTACTTTATATTATTCAACCGACTTACTTCTTATTCATTCGTTATTATGAATGAAAACATTTTATTAACAATGCATTTTAATAAAAAAGCGACCTTTCAAGTAAAAACGACACGACCGATTCCTCCGCCTTGAACGTTGAATCCATGGACATTCAAAGTGGTCCACACAATGATTCCAATGTCGCAGAGTGAGTTTGGGATATTTATGTTGTTTCTTATTTTTCTCTTCACTACTGAACCAACTTCGTTAGATACATGTATACGTTATACTTTACAGGCCTTCAGTGTTCGAAGAAATTATGTCAGAAGACTCTTCTACGGATGAGGAGGATATTGTAGAAAAATTACTAGTGACCGCTTCACATAATGTGGTGGACAATGAAGTAGAAAACGGGTCACCTCAAAGTAGCAGCAGCACTAACGATGGCGAAATGGACGAGGTGCTAATTATGTTTAAACATTGAGCGAAAGCATTTTACACTTATTGATATGTAACTAGTTCAATTCGATTCTTATAGATAATTTTGTCCATGATTTATTTCAATGGCCATTTGGGCGCAGCATATTACGATTTCGCATCCATGGAGCTTTACGTAATGGACGATGTAGACGACAGCAATTACAATCTCGACGTAACGAAAACATTGTATAGACAATGCGATCCGCAATACGTATTGGTAGTGTCGAGTGCGCCCGAAAAGTTCCTCGGTGTCGTAAAAGATTTAATTATGAAAAATCAGGACGAAATGCAAGATAACACGTCCACTTCGTCACGATCTTCGAGGAGTCCAGTATTTCAAGTACAGCAGTACAGAGAAAACACCTTTGAAACTTGTTACGCCAGAGTTATGTGTTTAAAGCTGATTAACGAGCCTAAAAATGCGAGTGTCCAGGAGAGAACAACCTTCCTAAATTCGGTGCTAAATTTCGAGAGCTCCTCGATGATTTACGCGCTAGGATTGCTCTTAAGATATATCGACAGAAATTGGAATACCATCACATTAAAAGCCTATGAGGAAGTGTATTATGCACGTATAAATTATATTTCACTGTAAGTAAAACAAGGAAAGTGATATTAGTTATTTTTCGATTTTTCGATTTAATTAGACATTCTGCGTGAAAACAGTAAAGATGCCGTTATGATCGACGACGATACATATAACTCCTTGGGAATTTTTAAAACTCGACAACATCCGAGTTTCTTCAAATTCGGTGCTGACAATTTGAAGGACAATATGAACAGCCTTTTCAGTATTTTAAACCAATGCAAATCTCGCGCAGGCGTTCAACATTTAATGCAAGTTCGACAAGAAAGTTATACATAATTTTTTGAATTTATAATTATATACTTAACTGTGCAAAAATTGATTCATAATTCTCTCGGTTATTCATCCTTAGGAAGATGATGAAGCATCCAACAAAGGATGTAAACAAGTTAAAAGAAAGACACGATGTTATTGAATTTTTCGCAAAAAATCAAGAAGTCGCTAAAAATGTGCGATCCTGCTTGACTTTCATTCAGCGTCCATCAACCATCATAATCAATCGATACTCTGCCTCTCAAGCAAAAATTTCCGACTGGCAGAAACTGTACAAGGTCATCCACTGTTCTAATTCAATATTCCACAATTTCATTGGTAAAAATCTGCATTTCTAATGACATAACCGTTCTTCCTCTTTTCCATACAGACTATTAGTTATGTAATAAGCGTTGCCAATTTATGTTCAAGATGTGACAATAAGCCGGTTCTATTTGAAACGATTGTTAGCAGTGTCACCAAAGAAATGCGATACATTCATTATTTCATCGAGTACATAATAGATTTCGAAGGAAGCAAAGTAGAAAACAGAGTGACTGTCAAACCAGGCGTCGATCCAAAGTTAGATGAACGTAAGTCCATTAACTTTTAATTATAAATCAATATCTAAGATACACAGCGACTAAATGTTTATTTTTACATTAAAACACAAATAGTAAATCACCAAAGAAGAATTCTGCCTCAGATTATGACGGAAATGAGTCGGAAGGAATTTAACCAGTTGTCTAGCATTGTTGCCGCCTGTCGTATGATGTACTTTCCGGATATTTGTTTCGTACTTGCCATAACCGAATGGAACGGCGAGGCACCTGACGATAACGAAGTACCAGGATTGGAATTCAAATTTACGATCAACAATATACGCTACTACAAAAGTGCAATTGCTAGAGGTTAATGCTAAATCGAGATAATCCAATTTAGTCAACAACCCGTGAATGTACGCGGCCCTTTCACTCTAAAAATATTTTATACGATAATATATACATATTCCAGAATTAGACGATAATATTGGCGATATACTCTTGAAAATTGCAAACCAAGAAAATAAGGTGATGATAAGTCTAATCCGGTTTATTAATAAGTATATGCATTCGATCCTCGACGCTGTTAATCTTTGCGCCGAATTGGACGCGTGAGTAAACCAAGTATTTGAGTTGTGCGTTACGTCGTTGCGTTAATTCCTAGATATTAAATAATACATCCTTAAATATTTTAGGATCTTATCTCTTTACATGATCGCGGAATGGGCTGACTACGTGAGACCGACCATGGTGGAAACGCAGACCCTGATCATAAAGGGAGGACGACATCCGATGTTGGAACACAATGGATCGTTTGTCGCAAATGACACCTTCTCCGGCGAAGGTCATGGCCGCGTTAAGATATTAACAGCACCGAATTCAAGTGGCAAGACTGTTTACCTCAAACAGATCGCGCTTATCGTATATATGGCACATATCGGTAGTTACGTGCCAGCAGAATCCGCGACCATCGGCGTCATCTCGCACGTTCTGTCGCGCGTTTCGTCTTTCCAAAGCGTCGTTATTAATACCAGTCATTTTATGGCCGATTTGCGACAAGTACGTTTACCGTCTTTGCAAATGCATGTTAATTATTTTGTCGCATTTCTAACGCGGCGTTATGGTGCAGGTTAACGTCACTCTACGTACATCGACACCTAACTCTTTGATCATTTTGGACGAGTTTGGGCAGGGCACTCACGAGAGCGATGGTCTTACTTTGCTAGCTGCGGTTCTGAAAGAATTCATAGAAAGAGGTTCCAAGTGTCCTCACGTATTCGTCTCCACTCATTTGCATTCGATCACGCAGCTTATACCGGAGGATCCTATAGTCGAGAAACTGGTGAGTCGGTCGACCCTGCGGTGTGCATCGGACACCAAGCAATGTATAATGATTATAAAAATGTACACATTTATAGACATTCGAATATACCGTGGATGAATGCGGGACGATATCATTTCTATACAATCTAGCTTCTGGAAATATAAAATGCAGCTTCGCCCACAGCGTGCTAGAAAAAATCGTGGGTGCAGATTCTCCGGTCGTTAAACGTTCCAAGCAGGTAAACCGTAATCATTTTCAAAGGCACATTATCTCGTCTTCTCGTTCATCAACATTCCACTCTAACTTTACTATTAGGTGCTCGAGTGCGCGAAGCAAGGTACGGTCCCACCACCCGACGAAACGTGCGCAAAGAACATGTACGCCCATTTTAATTTTTCCACCAAGACCGTAAAATACTTAATAACATCACCCATCGTAAATTTTAAATTTTAGCCTAAAAAGCATTTATCAACTTCTGATTTCACCCGATTCGGAAGTCACCAAAGTCCAGATAAAGGCCCTTGTGGATCAAGGATTAGCGATGTACGAGAACGAACATTCGAACACCGAGTGAACCCAAGAAGTGCGTTCCATATTAATACAAAGAAAATAAAGTGTTTCCAGCCTCGTCTTCGATGAAATTAATAGAAAAATATGGAAATTGATTCTATGCTTGTTTGCGGAATCGTAGGTCGCGCTTCGAGTCACGGTCGAGGAGGGTTCCTTCGGCGACCGAAAGATGGCGCCACAGGGACCCACTCGCATCGCGCACCGCGGCCGGCGAGAGGGCGCGTCGGTCGATCGGTCCGCCGCGAGCTGGCGCTCGCAGCCTTCCGTTGTCAATAACGGACACTGGCAGTGATCCCGGCTCGAACGAAAGGTCTCCTCGGCTCGGTACCAACGGCTCTCGATGTGATTCCAAGTGGGCTCGGGTCCCCACGGCGCGCTCAATCGTCCGCGTTAAGCGGCCGGTTCCCCGAGCTGCCAGCTCGTCGTCGGTGCCGCCGTCGCCGCCACCGCCGCGTCCGCCCCCGGGTGGGCTGCCACGGGCGTGCCTTCTCCGCTCCGCGAGACATCCGGCTCCCTCGTTCGGCCTAGGGGGGACGGAGTTAGCGCGCAGCGGCGCTCCGCTCGGTTTTTGAATGCACACGCACCCGTAACCGGCCGTAACTGTCAACGCTCTTCCCGGAGCCGCGTTTCGGCCCGAGTCGAGCCTCCGAGAGTCTCACGGGCGTATCCGAGATTCGCGAGTGCCAATCGTATGTCGTGCCCCGTGCCGATCTACTAAATGACCATGGACCACGGCGTGTGCAACATCGAGACGGGCACCAGCATAAACATCAAGAGGACCGACGGTGAGTGAGAGGGCGGTGATCTCTCGATGCATCCCGCTCGAAATTTAACGGACTCTCGGGACCGTTGGACGCGCGTCTCGCTCGGCCGCGGTCGGCCGCGGTCGGTCGCGCTCGGGCCCCGACTTCTCCTGGACCCCGGGGACGGTCCGAGCTCCTCGGGAACGTCGCCGGGGAACCAAGGGTTCCCAGAGAGAAGGCGCAGAGACCGGCTCGAACCGGTTCCCCCGAGTCGGCGATTCGCGCGTCCGGCGTTCCCGAGTTCTCACGTTTTCGCATTCTCGCGTTCCCGCGTTCCCCCATGGGACGATTCGCGACCGCGCCTGGAGGAGAGTGCTTCGAACTTTTCCCTCTTTGAATTCCTAACCTATGCTCGACCGTGTCGCCATGGCGCCGGCTCGGGCAGTCGCGGTATTTTCTTGGCAAGATCTCTGGTAAAAGGCGTTCTATCGTCATCCAAGCCTGTATTTTGCATATTAGCTTTATTCAAGGAATTCGATCGGAGGAGACGACGCGTTTAAATCGATCCGAATGGCTCGATATCCGTTGACCGATTCTTTGATCGAAAGGCGCCGGATTGCGCCCCGATTAGGCCCTGGCGGACGTCCTCTGGCTGGGCAGTCTCCATCTCTGTTTAGTCTCGTTTTTGCCATCCGCGAGCCGCGTGGAGACACGGCCGTTTCGAGATTACCTCGGGGGAAGCGACTCCTTTTGGCTCAGCCGCGTGCCAAAGACGAACGAGGAACGGCGAGCGACCCTCGCTCTTGGCCCGAGACTACGGTCGACCGGAGCGCTTCAAAATCGTTGCTTCTTTACTTCATCGATTACACCCGAGACTAGGCTGTGTGAACCTGGAATCCAGTTTGAGGCACAAACGAAATTAACAGGCTTATTGGAATGTTCCTGTGATGTAAACATTTACGTTATGTTGTTTTGTTTGTAGCATTTTTGTTTACAAAAACCAAAACGGTTCAATAAGATAAAGAAATTCCGAAATCGTAGAAATTTGGATTTTTCGACTCTAATGGGTTCTTTGACTTTAGAAAAATTCAGAGTCTCCCAGAACCTCAAAAACGTTAAAATGGTCATATTCGGAATTTTTAATCTTTTTTTTAATCCTTTGGCTATTAAGAGCGCCTAAAGGCGCCCGACGTTCGGTGCAATATTGCCTGCACGGTCAAACGAATTTCGCCCATATGTCGAAATGGCTCCATGTTCAAAGGGTGAAAAGTTCTGGTTTTTGTAAAAAGAAATGGTACGAACAAAACTCAACATGGCACAAACATCTACATGACAGAATATTCAAATATGCTTGTTAATTTGTTTTGTGCCTCAAATTGGATTCCAGGTTCACAGCCCCGAGACTACGGTCGACCGGAGCGCTTCAACCGTTCAAACCGTTGCTTCTTTACTACATCATTTACGCCCCAGAGCAATCGGGAGAGTACCGTTCGGATGTATGTCGAACGATACCTTTCACCCCGATGGAGTGGTTAAAGTCGCGGCGATTACGAACTACGGGAATGAAGGCGTACTCGGTATTGCAGGGAAGGGACGTATCGTGCCCCTCCTAGCCAACTTCGGCTTGGCGGAAAGTCTAGATGCGAGGTCGACTCGCCGAATTGCGTTTCGCACGAGGGTCGATAAGTCACAATCGACCCTCGATATCCGCAATGTCAAGGTCGGCGGACCTCGGCTAGACGACACCTCGAAGGTCTCGAATTAGTCCCTTTTGCCTTCCGACTTCCATACCTATGTTCTCCAGGAGATCGACGACGAACCCCGATCGATACGTGTCGACCATTCTTCCTGTGTGTAATAAAAAATATAGCAAATATATCGACGCGGTATATTATAAAAAATGTAGCAAATATATCGACGTAACGACGCGGTACCGCAAATATCCGAGCCGAAATCTTGGCCGTACGTTGAACCTGAGTGACCTAAGTAAGCCCTCTTTCGGTTCTATTTCACTTTTTCTTAATGTTCTACTTTAGGCCCGTTAGTGGAAGGAATGGAAATATCTCCCACTATTAACCCTGTGCTTACGAAGGCGTTTAGATTTTCGTGCAATATTGCCTGAACACATTGATGAATTTTTTGTGATGTTTCCTTTTGTCGAGAGGGTTCTGTACTCAGAAGGTTAAGATGTGATGTGAAAGTGATGTCAAAGAGGTCTTGTTTATAAAAATATTCACCAAACTGGATGTACCGAATCGTTCTAAACTTTGTAACGTGAATATGGCGGTTATAACGATAGTTCTATCACCCACGCAATTTCAATTTTTTTTTTTTAATTTGTAGACACTTACAATTTTGTATAAAACTGAAATTTCATGCGTTTGTAGCCTTTTTCTTGTAGACTCCATGTTCATGGTGTAAAGTTTGAAACTACTCGGTACACTCACTTTGATGAGAACTTTCAGGATCGATTGACCCCTCAGATGCCAGTTTCATACGCCCTTAAGGTCTAAAGTAGTACCTCGATTGTATAGATGTAGTAACCTTTCCCTATATTATCTCAAAACCCATGTAAGGCCTACAATCAGAGGTTCTAAGTGAGATCAAAATTTCGACTCGAGTACTCTGCGCGCAATTAAAGGAAAGACCAAGTTCGGTATGCTTGGAAAGGTCAATTTGCGATTGCACTCGACTAAGGGTCAAGATAAACAGGGATGCAACGAAGGACACGGAGAGAGGTGCATCTCCCAATGTTTCAAAGAGTGACTCGATGCTCGACCGACACTGGACCGAATTGATTCGGTGTCGGTCGTGTCGATTCGCGAGGTCGATACGAGGACCCGTTCGGGATCGGAAATTGCCACGACTCGCCGTAGAGAGGAGGTTGCGCAAGGTGCGGAGGCCGGTGGGCGGAATCGGATAGATTCGAATTCTCTTTCCCAGAGGTAGCGAACGTAGTCAAAATGGTACGACCTATTCGCCGATTAAATTTTCTAGGCCTTTTTTCCCTACTTTCTCTCTTTTGATTTTCTGCTTTTCTGCCTTTCTCCCGTTCCGAGTCTCCCTCCTCTTGGCCCACCGCCTCGGGTCGCGTGAGTCAGATCGTTCGCCAAGAAAGGAGAGGGTTTGCGTCCGGATCGCGAGCGCGACTCGATCGGCGGCCCTTCCGGCGAGTCGAGTCCTTCGCGAGGGCATTCGTACCCGACGCGCACGTATTTTCGGACGTGCTCTATTTGAGCCTCGGTATCCGAAGCTCGGTGCGCCGCACTCGCCGCGAGTCGCTTTTCAAGTCGTTCGAGTCGCTCGCCAGGAATGGCGCTCGTGAACGATTTGCGCCGGCTCGGTCGGTAGCGATTAGCACCGTGAAATGAGGATTTCGAGCCGATTGGCGGATCTTCGATCCTCGTTGCTACTAATCCGGTCGAATCCGCGCTCTTTGTTCGCGCGAGCGAGAGAGCGAGCAGTCCGTGCCCGAAAGCGCGCAAGTCGCCGTGGCGAGCACGTGGGCGGCGCGGCCTTATAAGGACGCCCTGGCGAAGGCTCCTCGTATCTTACCTTACCTTACCTAACCTTAGTCTACCTCGCCTCGTATCGCTTTTCCGTGCCGCGACGACGCTCCAGGGGACGCCGGAAGTTTCCTTCTCGTCTGGCGAGATCAGGAGTCGATTCGCCGAGGGAGTGAGCGAATGAATTGTGGTGCACGCGGTTCCGCGCTAATGTTGGATGCTAGGGCCGGTTGCGCCGATGTTCGGGTTATAATTCTTAGTTAAGGATTACTTAACGCGTATTCGCCCGCTCTCGATTAGACCCCATGTCTTTGGCAAGTATGCTTCCATTGGCCGGACCTCAAATTGCGTACACAGTGCTACAATACGGATCAATCACGACAAACGTTTACCGTGGTCAAGTCGAAAAAAAAAAAGAAAAATCACAAAATTCGACTTAAGCTATGAATCAATGTAACATTTAAATGTATACATTTTAATGGGTGACTATGGTATTTTTTAGGTAGAAATCAAGTCGATATCTAAGTGGGCTTCAGAGATATTCAGAACTTTGTAAACACCCATTTTACTCCTTTTTATCCGTTTAGAGGGTGAATTTCGGAAACTCCCTTTTTAGTGTGATCTATGATTAACCAAACGCATAGAGACGTCCGTCGGGGACTTCGTTCAGCTATGTCGAACTTCTGCGCCACAGAAATAATTGTATTTACGACGGAAGTGTCTCTCGGCGCTGACTTTTAGCAGCCAATCGGAATTTTTGCCTTTTCCGTCACACGACGCCGGAAGAATGAAATATCGGCGTCGGGACGGCGCTCGTCGCAAACGAGGGCAAATCGATCGTCTGTCGACTCTTGTCACCTGGTCGGAAGGTCGGACGCGACGACGGGCTGGTTGCCAATCTCCGATCGCGCTTCGTTTCGGACCGTGGATTAGCAGGGCGAGGTCGGAAATCGGCTTCCTCGATTTACCTCGCATTACCTGTAACCCGACTAGTGCGGTAGAATTGCGTACAACCGCCTTTTCCGCGCCTCTCGTGCACGAACATCGGGACGGATCGATCATCGATAAAACCGTATCATTCGGATTCCACTTCGGGAAAGTCGGCGTTGTCCGTGGGACGAGGGTTTGAGATCGACAGACGCGACGTCGAGACACCGTATCGACGTCGATGCGCGGATCGTTCGAAAGCGCGAATTTTTTGTCACGATGCACGGACACGCGATCCGGTGATGCAACCAGGCAACTCGATACGCATCGCTTCCGTACGTAGACACGGCTATCTCGTGTCGCAACTCGGCCGAGCGACCTTTCGAATTGCCGCCCTTAGGGCGGTCGACCGGCACACGGTTGGCGGAGCGCTCCAGAGATGGCGCCACGAGCGCCGGCGAAGCGAAGCCCTGCCGTACCGACTCGCGATGTGCCGCCAACCTTCGCCAAAACCGGTCGATAAGATCAACCGATACCTGTATCCAGTGCCGTACTAGATATTCGAGAGCCTTATGCCGTAAGTTTAGGACTCTATATCATTCCCAGTTATATCTCGACATCATGTGCGAGTCCACCTGTTGCACTCGTCTAGTTACGTTCCTGCTTATACCTGCTCGATCGTTCGAAGAGCGCTCTTTCAGCTTCTACCCCGAGATCCTCTACGGCAGAAACTGTCTTTCAGCGGGTCGTCCCCGTTCTTCCTCGGTTCCGCGTTAGTCATCGCATCGATTTCAAGGTTATTGGAAATGCGATCGTGAACCTAATAAGGGGCGATTTTGCGCCGAGCCTAAAAGGATCTCGTCGCGGCCGACGCGGAGGCCGTTGGCTCGTCCGTGGGACGTGGACCCACCGTCCACGACAGGCAGGATGCCGTCGTTTCGATTTAATATCCGATAAGTCGCAACCTCGGGGGACCTCCGAATCGAGGGAGGCTGACGTTCGGTCGGACGTTGTCCTCGCGACGGAGTCTCGTCGGGAACCCTTCCCGTTAAGGCGATGTAAACCCCCCTCGAATCGGTCGATTCGAACAAGACACCTTTTTTAAGGATATGCAACCGAACTGTCTGAAAAATGATTCACGAACACCTAAGAATTATCCTGACACTTTAAAGATTTGGAGTTTAAAAGGGGATTATTTTCAACGACGTGTTTCATTTTACCTTAACACATTCGCGACCGCTGACGTGAATTCACGTCTTTTCAAGTTCAATTGCTGATTGCCGTTGACATGAATCACGTCCATAACGATACACGATACAAGTTTGCGGCGACCAGTTTCAGAATTTCATTATTTTCGCCGGTACTCGGTATTTGAAACGGAAAAAATTTGCCGGTTGCGAATGTGTTAAGGCGAGGACACATCTCGCAAACGTGAACGTGGTATGACGAGGTGAACCGAACCTGTGTCGTTCGTGACCGTTTTTGGTTTACAAACGAAATCACAGGCAATTAATGGACATTCGGACGGATGACGTTCGTAAAGTCGTGCGCTGGGCAATTAGCAATAAGTGTAAGACTTGGTCTTGATGTCACGGTCAGGTGTTGGCTCTGGTCTTGGACTCGTACGTTTTCCAACATCGACCTAGACTAGAAGACCAATATCGATTTTCTTGATTACCGTGGACAACCCGAGGCAGTTTGTCGCGCTTCGATTGTAAATTCACACGTGTATATGCTCATTTGATTTCACCTTGCAACATACGTGTTCGTGCTCAGACATATACCCGACATTAAGGTCGATTTACACATGTCCTATCCGTATCAATTCGGTATCCATACCGTGCAATCCGTGCACGGAACCATGGCAAAGGGATGCACCAAGAACGCAAAGGGTGAATTTTTTCTCAGTAAAAGGTTCCTTTAAGAAGCCGAGATATCCGTTTGTGAACATCACGAAAGACATCGATGGATATTTAAATTATTCCACTTATTAATTACAATTAGAAAAAGCCAAGTGATGTTAAACCTAATAGGGATAAATCTACGACTCCGTATAAATCCCTGCACAAGGATGCGAAGCACCCTAACTCCGATCGTGGGCGAAGCTCAAATATAATACATCGTTTTCTAAAGGGATCGTTTCGACCTTTCCGTATCCGTGCCGTCCAGTCAGTGTCGGTTCAGTATCCGCGCTCCCGACACCCCCGGCGAGGATATCTTCGCGTTACCTTCTGTATCACGGACGCCTTTGATAAGGATGAATAGTCACACCGAAGTTGCCGAAATGGATATAGACCGTGAACGAATGGAGAACGAACGCGGGTAAATCGACCTTTAACGGGGCCGTTCGAAGCGGCTCGCCTCCAAAATCCGCGCGGATCCTTTTCCGTCGCTACTCCGGCCGCGCCGGGGACAGCCGAATCGGCGCTCCTCCCCGTTTCCACCGGCGGATCGGAAATTCCTACCGAAAGAGCGGAAGAGCTTTTTCCTTTTCTCCTGAGATTCCGGACAGGCCACTCCGCGGTCTGGATAAAAAGGAGAGAGAGGGTGGGAGAAAGAGGGAGAAAGAGAGGCGGACGGAGTCATCGTCCATCGGCGAAAAGGAAGAAAGCGGTGCGCGCATCTATTTCTACCGACTTGCAGAAAGAGGATTTTACCGAGCGGAGCGGAGCCGCGCCGAGCGAGAGGACTCGTCACTCGCGCGTCGCGCTCCGACCGGCAAAGTCGCGCCCGCTCTCGGCGGCCTTGACACGCCGCGTTACGTCAACTCGTCCCTCGGCCGGTTCCCTGCTCCCCCCCGTCGCCCTCCCCCCTCGGCCGGGGCCCCCTCCCGACTCCCGAAAGGGGAGAGTCGCGGTCCGAAAATGTCGCAGACGCGTCAGAAAAGTCGACGAGGCGCGTCCAGAGGGTGACGATCGTATCGGCGACTCCGGGACGAGGAGTCGAAACTCGCGTGCCGTGGTCGGCGCCGGCGCGAAACGTTAAGGTGAAACGTATAGGCGAAAAGCAAAGGTCGTACGACCAGAGGGACGCCGGGAAACGTCGGATGGGCTGGTTCACCGGATGCGTATGCGGCTCGAACCGCGCCGGCTCCCGGGACAACCTCCGGATAGAGTCGGGAAGGGAACCCCTGGAGGAAGGTGCCGGCGAGGAGGCTCCTGGTCGAGTGGAGAGCGATTCCCTCCCCGTCGAGAAGGAACCCCCGGGGGACGAAGGGACGGGTGGCGCCCCCTTCCAGAACGGCGCGACTCTCGAGGCGCGCAGGACCGACGGGTCCTCCCAACCGGACCTCACCTTCTCCAGGTGCTCCAAGCTACCTCGGCCGATCCATGATCGGACTAACTCGAACCCTCCTTTGGACAATCCGGAAGAGACCTCGGCGCCGACGGACCTTGGGACGAGTCGTGCTTCGGAATCGTCCAGTCAGGGCGAATTCGGGTCCTGCTGCTTCGAGATTCCCCTTGAGAGGGATGAGAAACTCGAACGCGTCGGGAGGAAGGTTTCCTCGATTCGGAAAGTTCCGAGCCAGCGACGGAACGGCCGGGGCGAGGAGAACTGCGGAAAGGACGACGGGAAGATCGAAGAGGGTAGATAGATGGATAGATTTATTATTAATGAGGCCAAGAGCGGAACTACACGTGGGGGAGGCAGAAGAAGTAACAAGGTCGATGTTAAAGCATACAGCGATAGGATCGTCGAAGGATGCTTTTGAGACTGGAGGGAATAAATTATTATCTTATGTATTAAAAATCGAGCGAGCCCACTGCTCACGACGGAAGTGGAACTTCTAAGAGCATTAGATATTTTCAATTGTTCTGTTTCTCTCATGAAACCATCTTTTCGCAACCGGTACTAGTTTTAGGCATGATCGTTTTTATCTCTTACTGCGTTATTCTTATTTAAGTAATAATGAAAGTAACGAGAGGGCGCGGGCTTTCGAAGATCCAGTTTATTTCGAATGATCCAGTCGGGGTCGGGAGTGGTTCCGGAGACTTGGCCCCCCTAAGAGAAAATTCGCACTCGCCTCTAAAGTTAGACTCGGCCCGAATCGTGGGGCCGAGGGAGCAGAAGCGCAAACTTTCGGTTACTTACACTTAATAAAGGTTTTTGTCGAGCCCTCGCCACGTCCCACTGATGCGCATCGTTCCTTTTTTGCAGGTCGCGTTCACTCGGCCATCGTTTCCGGTGTCAATTGGGAGCAACGCAGCGTCACTGTAGAATGGTTCGAAAAGGGCGAGACCAAGGGCAAGGAGGTAAGCGAATTTCCCTGAATAAGCTTCACCTGGTGTTCCCACTTAAAAATGAGATAGGACAAACGCGTTCGAATTCGTTCAAATGCCCTCAAATGCGTTCGACTCCGTTTCGTGCAACGGAAGGTCAAGGTCGGGCCGACTCGTCGAGGAGGAGGGAGATCCTCGCGTCGTCGCCTTCCTCTTCCTCAAAGTCCGCCGGAAGTCGCGGTCGATCGGCTATTTTCAATTCCGCGCTTATGCAATTGTTAAAGGAGGCAAACCTCTCGAGTTCCCCTGTCGAGAATCGCGAGTCTATTTCGGCCAGGCCTTTCGAGAGAGCCGCCTCGAGTCGATCTTGGCCGACGAGATTTAGCCAATGCTCGGGAGGCTTCACCGTTCGCATTAGCTGATCGCTCGGCCCAAAAACCGCGTTTTTCAAGGCATTCGCGCGTTACCTATCCGTCCATCCTTGCGATCGCTACGACGGGGACGATTTCGAGGATAAACCAGAACCGATCCTTGAACGGAAAGAGTGTTCGCGATCTACGATAATCGCGACATCGGGAGCCGTGGAACGATGTTTTCTCAAAGTCTAATCCCTCGCAGGAAGGTACGCGCTTATACTTTGAACGATCGGTCGCGGCACGACGGACGTTCGATCGGTTAACTTCCGCGACGTAAATACGTTGACGTTGCATTTTGACCGATTTCTCGATCGTTTTAGGTGGAGATCGACGCGATCTTGGCTCTGAACCCGGAGCTGGCCCCGAAGACGATGGGACCACCGCCTCAGATGAACAACCACATGCTCTCCGCCTCCAGGGCAAGGGTGAGTCGGCTAGAGGTCCTTTACGAGCATCGATCCGTTCCTCTGGTGCAAAAGTAGTCCAGAGCGATTTCAGTGGACTCGCGCGTCGCGGTCGGCGGCTCGCACCGGATCGATCTCGGAATATCGGCGAGAATGGCGAACGGCTTCTCGGCCGAGACCATCGCGAACCGGACGAGCGATCAAACCCCGGCCAGGGGAGCGGCCGCGTACCCGGGTACGGCTTATTATCGACTGGGGATGAAAATTTGTTGACGCGTTGCCCAGGATACCCATCTAACCTCCTTCCGAGCTCGGCGAAGAAACATGTTCCTCCACTGTCCCGGGTGTAACTTCCTAACATGTTCCAGTATCTATTCGTCTTCCAGGTACAGGCGCGGCGCGTCCGCGTTAATTCCGCTAATCCGAGAAGGTTATCCGCGCGACCGAGGGCGACCGGGCGCGACTCGCTCGGGGTCGGTAAACCGGGTGGACGGTCGTCGAGGTCGACGAGCTCCTTTGGGGCCTCCTCGTCGGCGGTGAGAGGCCGGTGTCGCCGGTTCGGCCGATTTCGAATAAGACGCACCCGACGGAGAAGGTCGCGTCTCGCGAAAGTACAGGTGGTATCTTCGAAAATGGTCTCGGGGATGGTTTCGAAGGTGCACGAAAAGAAAAGAATGTTCAGGAAAACCGCAGTTGTGAAGATCTTAACCATATTGCATGGCGACATACGGGATAACCTTGCCAGGAGGTTGTGGCAACCAAAGTAACGTAGTTTAACCCTTTTAGTGCCGGGCAACGATATATCGTCGTTTTACAAGTGCTAACGACTTCGGCCGGCACTAAAAGAGTTAAGAACGAAGTAACGGTTACTTCACTGTTTAGTCAAGGTAATTACAAAGTACTAGTGCTGTACCAGGATGCTTATCGAAACTTCTCTGCAATGTTAATATTATCATTCCAAATGGTAATTCACTACTGCAACTTTTAAGCGTAGCGTCATGGATATGGCAATTATTGGCAAGATTACATTTACCATTCTATGTAGTTCGTCTCGTCATTTGTATGGTTCATGTTATTGCATTACTTTAGCCATGTTGCTCTCGTAATTGTAACTAAATTTTTTTTTTGTCGGGCGGTTTCGAGGGTGGTTCCGAGGGTAGTATCGGTTTTCGTTTCAATCCCGTCCACGAGGTTAGAATGACGTTTTCGTCCGTACGTGACCGGCGACACTGCGCTTGCTCCGCGTAATCGCCGCCTACGACCAGCTGCTAACTAACAAGGTTACGTCTTTTTCTCTCCATGGACGCTGCTCGTAACCGTGGACGTGTATCGCCGATGGATCAACGCATTTCGGACCACGAAATCCCCGATCTGAAAATCCGCCCATCCGTCGACTCTGTACATTTGGTCATTCCTTTCGTTTGGGACCCCTTCACCTTCCGCTCCTCCTGGCACTCTTCACGCGCATGATTTGCCGAATGCACCGCGTGCTCTCGACGCCCCTCCCCGTCGACGTTGATTTAATCTCCCCCATTTCCCGTGAACGTCCTCTCGAGGACTCCTCGGCTCCTGTGATCATCCCCATCATCGTCTCGATCGACTGCGTCCGACCGCGATCGCGCCGAATGAATTTTGACCGGTATCGCAATCGCCGGAACCCGTCGGTCTCTGTACCGCAGGACTCTTCCGACGACGAGGACGAGGGTGTCGACGAGTTGGATAACCAAGAGGACGGCTCCCTGGGACGACACGGCGGTAACGACGCGAGGAACGGCCTGACCTCCGCAACTCTTCCTGTACGAGTCACCTCTCGTCTCTCGGTAACGCGCGTCGTTTCCTCGTCGCTCCTTCCTATCTCCTCGCTCTTCGATCGCGACTTGCTTCCTTCGCCGACGTGGTTACCATTTCCTCCTCGTTCCTCCTCGTTCCTCGCAAAAAGCATCCTTAGCGGACGCGTCGCACCCTTCGAGACAACGCTAGCGAGTCGCGCGATTTATCCGGAAAAGATGACCCAGAAGGTCTTAAACGAACGATCGTCGCTTTCGACCCGCCCGAAACACGTGGAGACCAGAGAGGGAGAGACGACGAACGAGCTGGAAAAGCGTTTCTAGTTCCATCTCGTTCTCTCTCCCTTTTTTCTCTTTGTGCCTCGGCTACGGGAAGGACGACTTCCTGCACGTGACCGAGAGATAACTAAGCCTGATGGTTTCCCATCTCGTGTTCTCGTAGTCCTCGCTTGATCGCACCGAACCGAGTCTTTTCGCACGGCTCCTCGGCCTGTCCAGGTGTCTCGTATTAATCCTCGTCTTCTTTCGTTTCAGAACTCCACCAGGCCCTCTATCCCGGTCAAAGGTAAGACCTCACACTTTTCTTCTGTCTCAACGTCGTCGGAGTTTCTCCTGTAGAAGCTAGAGAGTATCTGGTACCTTGAACTCATTAGAAATAATTCCTAATACCGACTGAAAGGTAACTTAAGGGGATGTAAACGCGGCATTCGAGGGGATCAATCGTTTGTGTAACTTTTCTTCTAATTGGGTTTACCGAGTCGTTTTAATCTTTACAACGTGCACATGGAGACTATAAGGAAGGTCCTGACACTCATGAAATGTCAATGTTTTTAAAATATTTATCCATTGGTATTATTAAAATGTTGTATAAGAAATGAAATCTCACGAGTGTTAGGACCTTCTTTATGAACTCCATGTTCACGTTGTAAAATTTGAGATGATTCGGTATAACCAGTTCAGCGAGATGTTGCATGAATTATTCACCTCTCTCAGATGCCACTTTCACATCCCCTTAAAGTCGGGAGGAAATCTGAAGCGGAATGGAGAGATTCGGGTACTCGAGGGAGCGGTTCGTCGAGACGACGTTCGACGGTGTGGCGCGTCGGCCGACCGTGCTACTATCGATATTCCTCCGACTATATCTAAAGCGCAAGGGCAAGGACCCCGACGGCGGTGCGGAGAAGTGCGGAACGGTGTAGAGCGGTGCGGACCGATGTAGAGCAGTGCGGAGCGAACTTCGAGCCGCGCGCTTTCTTCTCCTGCGACCCTTTTCAGTCCTCCGCGTGGACAGCCGATTTTCCGTGAACCGCGAGTCGATTACCCGATAACCCGGTTTGCTACCTCGTGCTTTGCTGAGTGCTCCGCCATGAGATTCGACCCCCTCGCTTACTGCTTCAAAGGCCGCAACAAAATCAAGGACAGCACGCAGGAAACGCGAGCTTCTCCGTGGCTCACCGACTCTGGTAACCAGAGACTTCGTTTAGAGTCTTCATGGTGTAGAGAGCTTCGTTGATCGTGTAAACGGAACAACTAATCGGTACATTCGCCATTTAAACGAAGAATCGGGGAAGTATCTTCTATGGCATTGCGTTGCTTTGGGTGATTTTTTTTTTTTGCTCGGTGAAAAAATAGCTCGTTAGGATTAAAGCCGGATCGCCGTTCGGGTTGATTGGTGTAAAGGGAAGCTAAAGTTGTAACCCTTTCTAGACGGCTCGATTTTCACTGGTATGCTTCCGCTGCACGAATACTTGAATCGCGAGTACAGCGCTATAGTAAGGACCAGTCACGACAAATGTTCACCGTAATCAAAAAGTAAAGAAAATAAAGTAAAAGAATTCAAGTAAATTTATGAATCAATCAAACATTTTAACGGGCGACTATAGTCACCCATAGGATACGGCGAGCGTGCGATGATAGGTGACTATAGTCACTTGTAGTATAGAAAGGGTTGAGATTCTTAGAGGTTCCTAAAATTCGTGGTACTTTTGTTACCCTGACGCCGAGATTCGAATAATACTCTTGGCAATGTCGTTCAATTTTCCAGCTGGCTCCAACAGGCAGATTGCGAGGCAATCGGGACGCCCTACGCACATCATGCCCCCGGCGACGTCAGTTAACGGACACGGCGACTCCGTGTCGGGTCTGACCGGACGTCGGGAGGTGGAGAATATCCCGCCGACTCCGACGACACCGGCACTGACCGCGGCTTCCTCGTTGAGCAAGCAGAAACAGCAGCAGCAGCAACAATTACTGCAGCAGCAACAACAACAGCAACAGCAGTTGCAGCTGCAACACCAGCAGACGACGCAGGTGGAGAACGGCAGAGGTAGGCGGTCCAACGTCGTCAAAGAAGTCGAGAGATTGAAGAAGAACAGGGAGGAAAGGAGACAGCGACAGGCGGAGCTCAAGGAAGAGAAGGAAGCCCTGATGAATCTGGACCCTGGAAACCCGAACTGGGAATTCCTCGCCATGATTAGGTTAATGTCGTTTTTTATTTTGAAGGACTGATCTCGAGTCGCCAAGCTTAACGCAATTGTATGTAGTAATTGTACATTGGAATTGACGAAAAGGCGGTTCTACTTGCAGAGATTATCAGAATAGCATAGAGTTCAGGCCCCTACGCGAAACCGACGCCGTGGAGGATCATCAGATCACGGTCTGCGTGCGGAAGCGGCCTCTTAACCGGAAGGAGGTTGCCCGGAAGGAGGTCGATGTGATAAGCGTACCCAGTAAGGATCAAATGGTGGTCCACGAGCCGAAGGCCAAGGTCGACTTGACCAAGTATCTGGACAACCAGCATTTCCGATTCGACTACGCATTCGACGAGACCTGCAACAACGAGATCGTTTACAAGTACACGGCCAAACCGCTCGTACAGACCATCTTCGAGGGCGGAATGGCCACGTGTTTCGCTTACGGCCAAACCGGAAGCGGGAAGACTCACACCATGGGTGGCGACTTCAACGGCAAGACCCAGGACTGCAAGAAGGGTATCTACGCCATGGTGGCTAAAGATGTCTTCAAGTGTCTCAAATCTCCCAAATTCCGACCCCTCAACCTGGTCATCTCCGCCAGCTTCTTCGAGATCTACTCCGGCAAGGTCTTCGACTTGCTCGCCGACAAGGAGAAGCTCAGAGTGTTAGAGGATGGCAAACAGCAGGTTCGTGGAACGTCTTCGAGGATCAAAATCTAGCGATTCTTCTCGATCCGATATCCCATACGATGAAACGTAAGGGACTGTTTGAATTTCTTTCTTCCCCCCTTCTATCTCTTTCGATAGGTGCAAATCGTTGGGTTGACCGAGAAGGTCGTCGAGACTTGCGACGAGGTACTGAAGCTCATTCAACATGGCAATAGCGCCAGGACCAGCGGCCAGACCAGCGCCAACTCCAACTCCTCGAGGTCGCATGCCGTCTTTCAGATCATCGCACGGACTCCAGGAACCCACAAGGTTCACGGGAAATTTTCGTTGATCGATCTTGCTGGAAACGAGCGTGGCGCCGACACCTCCTCGGCCAACAGACAGACTCGTAAGTTCACTTAGGAGACGACTCTGACGAAAAAATTACCCAGTTTCTTTAATGAATTATTTAATACACGTTCAAAATGGTTGCGGGATGCTTAAATTTATCTTGACATTTCTCAGGCATGGAAGGTGCGGAGATCAACAAGTCGCTTTTGGCCTTGAAGGAATGCATTCGCGCATTAGGGCGCAAAGGGACGCATTTGCCATTTAGAGCTAGCAAATTAACGCAAGTCCTTAGGGACAGTTTCATCGGCGAAAAGTCAAAGACTTGCATGGTACGTATCGAGGAGCAATAATAAATTCGTTCACCGGAACTCGAAGCTCTTTAATCAAAGCATAGAGCAAATGTAACACGATCGTGTTTGATTTTCAGATCGCCATGATCAGTCCTGGGATGAGTTCCTGTGAACATTCTTTAAACACTCTGCGATATGCCGATCGCGTTAAAGAATTAGCGGCGACCGATCCAACGGAGCTCAAAGCGTCGCCGTCGGACGACGAGAGGAGCATGAAAATAGAAGACCAGGCGAACAATAGTGTACTATCCGACAGCGATTTAGCACAACTTAGGTCTCTGAACGTGAGTAACGTCGATCAGTCGTCCGTTATATTTCACTTGTATGTTCTCGGTAAAGAGATAATCACGTGTGCACTCACTTTTCTTTAGGAAGGAGAGCTGTCGCAAGACTTGTACACGTTCCACGAGGCAGTTTCTGCGCTGCAAATGCTAGAGGAAGAGGTCCTGGACACACATAAAGTGGTTATGGATACTACGACCAGATTCCTAAATGACGCCCACAGTGTGTTTAGTGCGACACACGAGGTGGACTACGACCAAGAGGGTGAGTCGGTTGTTTTTCCCGATCTTCCCCGTAGATACGCGTTGATTATTGTTTGCCTGTTTGATTCGATGTGCGTGCCCTTTCTATGCTATAGGTAGCTTCATAGAATGTGCCGTGAACTTTTATTTCCCATGCACTCGGGTTAGTGTGGCCATTCGGATGATAATTCCTTCCCCGCCGAATATCACGAGAAGAAATTGACGAGAATCGTACAAGTTTTTTTTTTTTAGGGATCTCAGATTATTCTCAAGAAATTTATATCTGATTGTTTCATTTTACCCGATGTCAAGTGCAAGGCTCGGCTCTTCTCACCACGTCCACTATTGCTTTACACGGATCGAGTTTTTACCCGGATCTTGTTTTCAGAATTTTCCCTCTTGCCTAAATATTTTTAAATAAAAATGTTTTAAACGTGGAAGGCATCTTTACCCTCCCGCTGTCTCGAAACACGTCTACGTAATTCGGTCATTGCAACGCTCGGAACGGAAGAAAGTGAGCTTGGTCCCTGTAAAGCGTTCGAGCTCGATCCGACTAAAGTTGTTACTAAATCGAAAATCATGATTGAAAGTATCGAACGATATTATCTTGAATCAATGTTCATCGCGTTTTATGGCAGATTCTCGTGGTAACGCTAAGGCAAATTCAATCTTCGCATTAAGCCGCATCCAGAGAGACAGCAGCGCGGCTTATTCCACGACTGATAAAATAAACGACAGCACGAACAGTGCATCGAGTATCTCGAATCTACGCTCGAGTTTGAGCTCCTCCATCGTTTTATCCGAGTCGAGGTCTCCTTGGAAGGACGAAGAATTTGAAGAGATCATCCCATCCAGCGACGAGGAGCCCTTTTCCGAGGACGAGAAGGCGACGGACCTTGAATCGACAGTCAGGAGGTTTCCTGCAGAACGACTAAAATCTACTCCGACTGTCTCCAGGAAATACCCACACAAAGGTGTATTCTCCCAATCACTGTCAACAGGCGGTAACACTACTCCTGCACAAGGAAAATATCCAACACCTCATAGTAAGAAAACTTCAAAGTACAATTGGACCGGCACGTTTGGCAACCGAGCTAGAAAATTGAATTACTCTGGTCGTGAATCGACTGGCTGCTCTTCCAAAGAGTCAGCAAAACTCGGCACCACGTTTACACCCACGCTGGGATCATCGACTATTGACAATGATACGTATTGCACTCAAGATTCCGATATTCAGGAGAGAATATTCAGTTCGGAGAAGAGAGCTGATGCGTCTGTAAACTACCGCCATTCCAACGATCTCAAAGGACTTTGGATTTCCAGAAACCTCGATGATGATAGTCCTGCCAAAGATATTAATAATAGTTCAGAAAGATATTTTTCTAACGAATCGAGAGACGTCGCAACCGAATGGATTAATTTGGACGATATGGTAGTCAGCAGATCCGGAATCAGATACAAACCTGTCGAGCCTGAAGCAACGTCTGAAGTGTTGGATGATGAAGATTTTTCTACGCACAGTCTTCGTATTTTTAACGACACCGATTCTATCGCTCCTCATTGTACCGAGACATCTGGGAAATTGTATATAAATGTCAAAAGCTTCCAAGGTACAACGAAGAGCTTTGAGACGGATGACGGCACGTCCGTTAAGGAACTAGGAGATTTTCGATCGACCTCGAAGCAAAAGAGTCGATCCTTATGCCGGCAAGCTTATGAAATAATTTGGTGGTTCTTGAAGAATTTAATACTCTTTGCTATTCTACCGACAGCCTATATTGCATTTTTCATCTTTGTTCAAAAAGCAAATTGATGAGGTCTATCTCTCAGGTGATGACGCCGGACAGACAAATCGTTTCGTACTCGTTACTTCGGCATCTCGTTTCCACTCCTATGATTGTGTTCACGTTGATTCCATTCCTTAGTTTTTAGTCTTTATACATTTTATCCAGTATTATGCACACCGTTTTATATGCCACGTGTTATGAACACGCAATATTAGTTGTATTATTTTTATACGGTTAAAAAGTATCGGCTAGTTAGATTTAACGATTGAATTTATTCCAGTTATATTAAGATTAATTGAAAGGCTTTGTGACAAGTCAGACTCTCGAAACCTTATTACGTGGTTAAGCTACTCTCTCTGGAACGGCATTTCATTTAAGACCCTCTCCTCGATAATAGTCTTGCCGTCGACAACTGATACAGTTCAATTAACGACCGTAGACTATAACCGAGTCAGAGGGAAACCTCTTGTGAAATCGAGTGAAGCGTGATAAAAGTTGGGAAAGAATAGAAGTCTCGTGAGGCTTTATCGAATGCACTTTCCGGGGAATTATATGAAGAATGTTCCTTAACTGCATCGTGCAGGAAATCACTTACCAAGCATGAGTGCATGTGCGCGTGTGTCCGTTTTGAGTTTAGCCTCGTTTTGCGTGCCGCAAGGTACACCTTGACCGACGAGGAACTAAGCGAGAACGCGGATTATCCTTAATGGTTTTTTGCCTAGAGTATGTAGTAACGAATCGTTCCAATTGCACGGTTTTCTCGCCTACATCGACGAGTAAACCGTATCTAGGAGGTAACTCGTTATAACGCGTGCCTCCACGTGTAACGCATATTGTATGTAACGCCAGAAACACTTACAGATTTGAGACGGAAAAGAACAAAGTTTAAGTCGTCCTTCCTAAGGAGGTTCTCGTTATGCAGACGTCTCAAAGAGAGAAAGCAATTTTCCGACGGTACGGCATCTACCATACTAACAGCAGTTGTTTCTTTCTTACGAAGCACCTAAAACGAACTGCTTGTCTACATTAATGAGCGCACTAAGTTTTGCTACGTTATACTAATCGATCGAAGTGGCAAAGCGTGCGATCGTCGCGATCACCAATGCATATATTTATCTAATCGGTGGAAATCCTCAAAAATAATGTCGTTTAACCGTTCTCCTTTGATCGCCATATATCGTGTCCAGTCAAGGGATTTAATGTCAAATTCTGAGCAAATACCTCTCCTCTTAAAGATACGTTTTTACTTGGATACGCTCTAAGAGAGTTCGTATTATTGGAAAGCTGCTTTCCTGCAAATAGAAATTCGCCACCGGAATGGATTGGATCCGGATGAAATTCGCTTATTTTTATTTCTCCTAGACTTTCCCTCAACTCTTTGCACTCCTTTGTCGACGGTGACTCGACGTCAACAATCGACATCTCAATAATTGGGAGTGCAAAGGGTTAATTTTGTCGACATCGATGTCCCGCAAAAGGAGTTTTTAAGCACACACCTTGCAAGAATCGTGATATTTATTTCGCTTCCATATATATATATACATATATATTTTTACGCCTCCTCCGTATCCTCGTCCGTCAGCAAAGAGAGAAAGAATCTCACGAGATCGCGTTAAACTTGAGTAGCTAGTTCTGTCCGTCCGAATCCACTGCGGACTACGTTTCTCATGTACTGTACACACAACGTCATTGTTAATAAACGTTATTTTTGTGGATTGACAACGTATGGCAAACTGTTTACTGTTTTGCGCTAATCTCGTTCACCAGCCTAACGAGAGCCGCTGATGCACGGCACGTACTAATCACGAGAGCGTTAACAATTTCCGCCGGTGCACAATTCCTACGCCGAGTGACTCGACCCGAATAAAGTCGGAGAATTACCTTAATGGAGGTGGAATCACGTCGAAGGACTCCGGAAGACGGAAAGTAGGATTGTGCGCCGTGCGAGTGCTTTGCCGCGTAAGGTCGAAGTCTTACCGAACGTGTCGGATGTCACACAAACCGCAGCGCGTCAACGAGTCAAAGATGATAACCCATTCAGAAGTGCAATGTAAGTTATATAGGAGGTTAAGCGCCGTTCTGATTGATTATTCATCCTCCACGCGTTGACGCATCGCGCTGTATATGAGACCCGATGCGCTTAATTTAATAAGACTTTGACTTAACCGAGCGCGCGGGCGAGGAGGGTCGACGGGTGCGAGCGTCAGCTGATTTTGACGTAAGGGGCGCTCAACTCGCGGCTCCTCGAACGCCGCGACTCGATTTTTCGCCGATCCAGGAGCCATTCGGGGCGAAACGGTAACGGAACGACCGGCGGTCGTACATGACGGCCTGGGTCTGACGGGATTCGCTCTTCTCTGTTACAGCCTATGCCCAGAAGTGGGAGCAATTGCTGACGCACCAGAGAGACACCTTGAACGCTGCCCTGGACCAAGTCAGCCAGTTCCGAAGTCAGTTGCTCCAGGAGGAGCAGATCAGCCAGAAGATGACGCGTTCGAGAAACTTGCGATACAACTAGGCAGGATATAACCGGCGACGAACGAATATCTCGAGATACGATACACGCAGCCAACCGTTGGGAGAATGCCCTCGGTCGAGTCGCCACGCTCCTCGGGGATGCCTCCGAAGGATCTCGAATTCCCCTAAGAAATTCGGACGCCCCCTCGCTTTTCTCTTAATTCATCCTCATGTCTTTATTTTTTTCCTGTCCCCCCTTATATACCCTCGTGTCCCGATGCACCTTTCGCGCACGCGAAAGACGAAAGGAGGAAGGAGTCGAGGTGCCGAGGAACAAACGCGAATCTTCGGTGTCGAATATACTCGAGACTTTTGGGAGTCTAACTTACCTGGTTCTTTATCGGTCGTAGCCACCTTCTCAATCGTTCCTTAATCGTTTCGATCCGATCACGAAGTGGGACGGAACGAACGGTAGAATATTTCGGAGTAAACTCGAATTTCCTGTACCGGATATCGAGAGCTTTGGAAAAGGAGCTTCGTTTGTTTTTTTCCTTACTCGGCCTTTTATCGTTCCTTCCTTTTTCGTCCTTTCTACCTCTCCGCCCTTCCCGAGCATTTCGACGACTTGGGAAGGGAGAACCGGACGTTGAGTACCAAAGTCTAATACTTCGCTTGAAAATCTCTGCCTTTATTCTTGTTGGGCTTTCGAGTGACAATGGGAAATAGAGGAAGATTTCTGATTCTTGGCACGCGCAATGACACTGTCTCCCGTAACGACGTAAGTAGTCCTATCGTTAGAACACCATGTCGGAAGTGAAATGTGAAATTGTTGATGTAACGATAAAACGAGCATGAGAAAACGATATTCGTGCGCCGACCACCAGGAAGTCCTTTGTTTGCACGAATTAGAATGCGATCTGTGTGCTCGTCGTAAAGTATTAGTACTAACTCCGGACGAAAAAAGATCAGAAGTCATCCTCGCGTGTCGAGATAACTTAGGAATATCCCAACCACTGAAACGTTCAAGTTTTATTCCTCTTGTCGCAATAATCAAGTCTTCATTGTTCGTATCAGACTATTTTTATTTAAAACTTATTTTATCCAAATCTTTAACGCCTTGTTGGAATACCAGTCTCAGACATTTAAATTTGATTTCTCCCCTTGATGTGTTATGTCCGCTATAAATACTGCGTATTACTTACCTTTGCTCACTTAGTTTACTTATTAAATTGTGTTGATTGTACCGCGTCGTAGCAACGGCAATAAGAAATAAAGTAGTCGAAGTTCCGATTTCGTACACCGGAGATTTTCGTCTCGCAGATCTTCCGTTTTCTTTTCTCTTTTTTTTTTCTCAAATTAGAGGGGAAAAGTGTCTGTAAAAAGATGTATTAATTAACGAGGAAACCAACGGATCGCAGTGAGTTGAATATTCAGAAACGTCGAAGTCAACCGAGACGCTACACCGAAGAATGTCCTAACGAGAACGAAACTGTGTTGTATCGCTAAATTCTCATTGTCGCAAGCAGAAAAGCAGTGCTAATGGAAGAAGTCCATGTGTTTCAACTACTTTATTACTATAATACTCGAGAATAAAAATCATAAAAGTGTTTTGTTTTTCATTAGATGAAACGCGGGACGTTTGAGGTATAAATTGATATCCACTTGCCTGGAAGATATGGTAAAATACGGTGTTACTCGTTGCCGCTTTTAAAACACTTGACATACCGAAAATATTTTAACGACTTACATCTTAAGTATGAATGCAGATATAACTGTGGAAAGTGATCGATAACACATACGAACATGGATTCCAAAAACCGTTTTCGTAAAGTTTCGTACCCGTCAAAAAGATGATGTTCCAATTGATGAGGTCGCGTTCCTAGCGCAGAATTGTTTTTTAATTCTTTGACCGCGAATGGGCGTGTACATATACGCCCAACATTTGATCCAGAATAGCCTGCACGCGATCACGAATTTCGACCATACGTCGAAAGGGCTTTACAGTCAAAGGGTTAAGGAAGAGATCCTTTTTTTGCGTCGCCTAATAAACTATTGGAATCGGAGTCGTATCGAAGTCCTTCCACAAATGAAGTATGCAATTAGAAATTCCTTCACGTTGATACGTCGGGAACATGCCCCTTACAGACCTTTCTCGTCTGAATTAAATTGCTTATCTTTACTATGTAAAACCAATGGAACCATACGAAGGCCGGCCGTTGGGGGCAATCGAAAAAAAAAACAACTGAAATCGAGTACTCGGTTTTAGGAAGGTCCGCATAGTCCGACTAACTTATTTCTAGTGAGCGAATATTGTAATAAACCAAATAATGACTGATTTCAAAAGTAACACTTAGCTGTAATTTAAGACGGTAAATTTAATTACGGTAATATTATAATCCTCGTCCAGATACACCGATGGCCCAATAATAGTTTAGTTTTCGCACTGACATGTACTAATCTCGATCATTTCTGTTGTCGCTTCTTGTCCTGACCTTTATATCTTTGATATATATATATACACCTGAGAGAGAAAGAAAATATTCATTGCTTAGAAATATCCTATATATTCTGGTCGAAGCTCAGAGTCGGTGGCCCTCGAAGCAAAGAAAGCTCGCGATCGAATCTTTCACGAGATATGACTAATGTTAAATGAATTTCCTCATCCCCCCCCCCCAAACTGGCTGGAGTTGATATTTAGTCCAATCATTTCATTTCTTTTTTTTGCGTTATGGTATTCCTAATCAGTTATTAGAGAATATTTGGAGGGATTACTGTGCGTCGTGTTGAACGCATCGTACTCATAAACAACAGTCAAAATAGCCTTCTTCATGGAATATTCCGAACGGAGCTCGAGTCATTAACGTTATCGACGCATCGTCATAAGTGTTCTCGAGTTCGTGATTAGCGAGAAAGAGGAACATTTAACGATTCTAGTAAGGGGGGAGCTGAGATCAATTATGGAGGTCTAGTTTGAAGTTTTTCGCGAAACGAACGTTGGGTTCTTTTAATATTCGCTACACGTGTACGCCAGCATGTCTAGATATTTTTTCTTCTCTTTAGTACACGTAAACTCTAATTCTACCAAAGCCGTTTAGCCTTTCACGAGCTTTGCAATTTGCTCTAAAGAATGATAGCGGTCTTCGTAGAGAGAAGTAACGAATGAGCCGTGGCTTCCGTCTTACGAGTTTGCATTTGACGAAGCACCCACCGTTTGTTGTCGCGCAGAATGTTTCGAAGGTGTGAAGAAATATTCTATGCGAAGCTTATTAATTAAAAAGTGTTAATATAATTATTATTTTTTATATGCGAATAAGTTATCGTATCGAAAGGAGCACTGGATCGTCATGGGAGACGCCTCTATTAAATCGGTAGCGACACGCGTGTGTGTATGTCATGACACAATAGACTTGACAACCCCGGAGGATGTGTTTTGAAAAACGTAGGTCCCTGCTAATTTCATTGACGTTCGTGAAAACGAATCTCGAGTGCATACATGTATTAAGGAGGCGACACATTGTTGCTTTATGAATAAACTCCCAAATTTGTAGAAAATGAAATCCTCTAAAACGTTTACCCACTCCACTATCTCCCCTGTTTCTTCCTACATCTCGGCACAATTTCGTTGGAGCATTACGGGGAATAATGTCATACGGGTATTTATTTTGGTATTGCAGAAAACTTTATTTTTAACGTTTCATTCATTTCCATTAGCTTTCACGTGTCGTGCCAACTCGACCAGCAAGTCTGCACTGCACTGTATGAGCTTGTTTCATTCACACGTATTGAGCTCAATACGTTATTTTTACTAATGTATGTGAATAAATAATAAGTATGCATGATATCACAGTTTCAAAGAGGGACTTGGAATTTATAACACTAAATATCGATATGAAATGGAAGTCACATACTTTAATTCGGCACCTTTGTCTTCGGCGATAGAGCACTTAACACTGCCTGCAACAATGCGAGATTCAATCTCTAGATTTAAAAATAACTACACTAACGGTCACTTTTCCAGCATTCCAAAAGCTCACTCTTTGGTTTTCTTCCCAAACGAGATCTTCAAACGTAGCTTCGGTTAAAAGTACATCTTTCATGTACATGCAACAGCACTGCATGAATTGTTTGTGTGCGTCAATACACTGAACACTTGTTATTAGTTCAAAAATTCAAGTATAATTTTCAGTAATCGCAGTTTTTCTCACAGTGTTCGTAGATTATTGATTTTTAGACAATTTTGTCTACATGCAATGACTTCCTGACAGTACAAGTTCCTGAGTAACCTGACAGACTTGAGTCAATTGCATTGAATCACATAGTAGAATTCTTAACTGCATGATCGGTATGATCGGATAAACTATTCAGCCTGGTTGCGACTTCAATTGGTGGCAGCAAGTTTTGAAAATTTGTTTAATCATTCTCAAAATCATTACTTCCTTCTTCGTCCACTACAATAGTATTGTGATTATCTGGCATTAGTGATTCTTGACCCAAGGCAGGGACTTGTTTCGAAAATTCACTAGTGGCCCAAAGGAACAGATCCAATGTCTGCTCCGTACACTCAGCGATGAATCTGACAAATGGTCGTACATCACCAGCGTTTGCTATTCGTAAATTCTCATAATATCTGTGCCGATGTTGTTTGTGAATAATCACTGGAGGGTAACCAGCTTGCATGAGAATCATATTCATTAGTAGTCGGGATGTTCTACCATTTCCATCGGAAAATGGATGAATGTGGACCAATTTATAATGAGCCAATGCTGCATATCTATTAATAATCAAATAACAAGGATTTAAAAGCCTGATGAGAAATAATTTATCATGATTATATAGTTTTAGATCCATTCAAACCATTTACCTAACAGGGTGCATCCTAATAGCATTTTCACTGTTCAGCCACAATGCAAATTCTTCCATAAGGTAATGAATATCACCAGGTCCTGGTGGTATGTGACCTCCTACATAAACCTGGGCACGCCTAAAATGTCCACTTTGTATGGGATCCACATGTCCCAACACACGTCGATGTATCTCAATAATGTCCTTTATAGAAATTGCACCCATTCTATAACATTATTACAGAAACATGGACAATAACTTATTCTTTTATCAAGGTTGTGAAAGAATTTAAATTGGTTAAATTAATGCAGAGTAACATGTGCAATGGTAACAGGTAAACATAAGGATCGTAGCAAAATTTACAAAGTACATACTAAAGAGATTTCAATAGCCTCACCTATTAACCAGAGTAGCATTAATGTATTTCATGGCAGAATCCAAACCTAGGATCTCATTATGTTCATCAATGCTCTTTCCCGCAACAGCTGTTCTCGTTTCGACAATAGCTCTAGTTTGTGCTAAGTTCATGGTATTACCTTCGATACCAACCGTATGATAAATATGTTGAAAATAAGCCTCCTTTTTAGCTCGAATTAAAGCAGCATCGTTATCAGGTATGACAGACAAGGCATCACGTTTTTCATCGATTCTTCTTAACATTCTTCTATCAAGTTCTTCGACTACACGAGCTGTTCTCTGTCTATTGACTAATGCCCCTTCGTGATTTGGTTCGTGTGTCAATGCACGAACATAAAATTCGTCAGCCTTTATAACATCTTTTTGAGTATGTTCAAGAAATTCACCGTAACAATTTAAAACATCTGGATGATTAGGAGCTAATGCCACTGCATGTCGATATAACTTAATCGCTTTGTTTTTCTTGCCAGACAATTTCATTTCTAGAGCCAAATGCAACGAGGTCAAAGCTTCTGCTTCTAATCCTGCATCATTTGTCTGTTGAACTTCTTGTACCTCAGAAGTTGACACAGTGATACTCAATATCCTGTCGTCATAAATGTTTAAATAATTCTGATCAGGTAAAGGAGCAAATGTATGTCGAACCTCTTTACCTGTATTTTGTAAAGATCGTTACCTTTTATTTTTTAATTATATATAGATGATGTAAATAGATTTGACAGAAAGAACCGAGTATTTACCTGTGAAATCCAAGATCTCTTTTCGTAAATACAGTGACAAAAACGCACCGATGACAGCAAATGCAGCTCCAGAAACGAAGACAAGACATATGATCAATTGACTGGGTACCATGGTTTCTTTTAAACTTTTTTCTTCCATCACATAAATCGGCTTCACATACGTACAATATTTATTTGAACAAGACGGTGGCATTTTTCCGCTGAATATACTTTTAAATAAAAGGTTAAACCAACGTCGATGAACTCCAACCAACTCTGACGTCTCTCAGAAGCCCATTGGGATAGGCCCATGGACCACAGAATATAGGGGATTGAGCATAAAGTGGTAACTTTGTGGGACAGGGAGGGGGTGACAAGCAACGGGATGGGTAATTAGATCAGCTGCTTAGATCATAAATATCTAGACCTCGCGTAGCAGTCGAAGGGGTTAAAAAGGGTTGGGTAATTTCACGATTTTCGAGGTTTTTGACGTATATTACGTAAATCAAGTAGTTTACCGTAGAAAACGTAGAAAACCAAGAGAAATTGTATCACATATGGCAGACAAAACAGACGTAGAGCATGCTGTATCCGCTAGGTTATAAACATCCATCTTGTCCATTTGTTTCATCCCATAATTTACTTTTTGGTCTTCCACCTTTATACATTTTGATACAAATAGTGGTTACAAATCTTACGACTTCAAGTAGCCATATAAACAAACGTCAAATGCACATATATGCATCAGAAATGAGTTGGTATGCAAAGAGATAAGTTGGGAGATTGCTCACGGAAGGGATCGTGCGATCGCATCCTGTGCTGCCCTCTGGTTTCGTACGTTAGCTTTCACCGTTTTTTGCCCCCAAGGGCGGCACAACGAATTTCTGATATTGAGCTCGCGCACTCGCGATAACGGTACCATCTACCAGTGACCGTTGGCGGCTCACGTACTCGTGACGGTAATACCATGCGGCAGTTGACGGTGGTGCCTTACCTACGCTTACCGACACTGCTCGCTTTTGATGGTAAAGGAAGAACACTCGTGACGCTCCATATGACTTTATCTACTTATCTACTACTATTAAGTACATTGTTGCCTCGCAGTCGACGTGATGCGGAGCTTTGGAGCACGCGTCGGTGTCGCGTACGGAACTCTCATAGCAGCGAATCTGCGTGAGTGCGATCGCTCCTAGAAATCTTCGCGCGTCCCAACCAGCCAAGCGCCAAGCTACGGGTCGAGACGTTGAGTATGTGTGCGTTCGGCGCTACGCTCGACGAGTATGTGTGAGAG